GTGCCGGAAGAAACCAAAGCATGGCCAATATGAGCCCAAATGTTTGGCTGCAACGCAGAGATTATTCCTGCGATTTACGACCCGCTAGTTAAATGCAAACGCATGATCGCACCGGCAAGTCTTGTGCGTCCCAGTTTAGGTTAGTACTTAGCGGTATTACTACGATTGGGACAGAATTTGCAGTTCTTGCGTGTTTTTGCTAATATACGCGACATCGCAGACCGTTTGGCATCATCTCCGTAGGTTCCTCTCCTTTCTTCTGGTATGCAGCAGTACTGCTTTTAGATGTTTTAATAATTGTGACGACCTTCACTCTCAAAGCCAAAGTTCGAATCACTTCTCTATGGTTACAGGATGCGCAGTTGTCTGGAAGTCGCTTGCCGGTTCTGCCGGATGAGATGATGAAAATCGAAGGTGGCCAGCCAATCGTTGTTTGTTTCAAGGAAAGAAAACCGGAATCAGTTGTCCTGCCGGTATATGTCATGACGGATCGCACAATGCACCGGAAGCCGCGGCCGTTCGACCTTAGTGGATCGGCACAAATGACGCCGCCCTCCACTACTCCTGATATTCCTGTGTCATCTCCGTCCGCACGTGGAGTTAGCAGCAAGAAGTCAGTCACCGTACCAACCTCCCAAGAAGCGGTCGCAGAGGGCAGCAGCAGGAAGCAGCAGGATACGGCCAAAGAGAAGCGTGCAAGTTCCAAAGAAGATGAAGAAGGTAAGTGTATGGTTAAACGGGAAGTGAAACGTGGCCGTGACTACCTATTGCGGAAAATCCCAGAATACTGCTAGCAAGTCTTTTCAAGTAGCGATCTTTCAGTCTGCCTTATTTTCGGAGTGGTAATGAAAATCGTGAGCGTAAGTAACGCAACAGGCTAGGTTAAGCTTGAAACCGATAAATCGTGTTTACGGTGGGAAAGGAGTTCAGGCAATACGCGTTGAGAGATTTGGTCTGTAGCTGCTCGAGGTTCGGCTTTTTTCGGATTACTGCCCTTTTTATACATGAAGCTTCGATTTTTTCTTTTAATTTTCGCCATCAATGCAGCTAGTAATTTCTCTTTTTTAACAATTTAAGCTGGTTATTTAATGTTTTGGTGTAGAGCAATTCGTCATTCGATTCGATAGACTGGGAAATTTGCGGCTCAGTAACTCATGAGACTGAACTGCACTGTGTTGTAGAACAAGTTTCTTTGGTACTTTTC